GATTTAGTGCTGTCAAGCTTTTGGCTCACCACTTTGCCGCCGACATCCTCGGGCATCTGCCAGTACTGCCAGTCTCCCTTCTCAGCCAAATCAGGACAATCCCATGAACTTTCGCGAAGCCTGGGAATCTCACGTGTCCGAGCCAAGTGCTGCGTCAGGAAATGTTAACCCAACCCCGCGCCGGACCACCAAAGCAACAGCATCACAAGCTCGTCCTCACCAGTGGGCCCAAACCTCGAACTCCCTCGGCCGACGTGTCCCTCACAAAAAGATGGTGATGCTACAGCAAAACCGGGAGCAACGAGACCACGCCGCTCAACGTCAGCTATCCAGTCTCATAGACGAGAGCAAACTCGTTACCATTGAGTTATGGCTGGACGTACGTGAGTGCTCATTGTATGTCGAGTGATAAGTCAACTAATCTCAAATCAACCCGTACTGCAGCCAGTGAAACCTAAGGCCATCACTGCATTGTTTCCATTTTGGCCAAAATGTTGTTTTAGCAAGAGTACCCTCTTGGTACACGCCCTGCAGTCAGCCCATGGGCCCAATTGGAATCGAGCTCTTATCTTCTGGGACGAAAAAATCGGTGGATGGGTAAGATTTTCCTCTCAACTCTGTCTGTTTTCTCGACGCCATCTGATCTCATTTACCCCATTTCATAGCGTGATACCCTGGACAGTTATCCACATCGATTCGACGTCAACCAACGTACCATTGTGGTCCGCCTTCCAACAGTTGAAGTTCCGATCTCTGCTGTCACCACCTCAACAAAATCTAAATCTTCCCCCAAAAAGGCCCCAGCCTCTGCTTTTCTTTCGTCTTTGGCTCTGCCCCCCATCTACGATATGCCATCTTCCCCAATGGACGGGTCGCCAATCGCTTCCACCAGTCAACGAACCCCATCTGGGTCCAAAGGAAATCCAGCATCTAAGAACCAAGTGACGGCAGCCCAAGCTGCCGCTCAATGTTCGGTCGAGGTGCCCTCGACACCACCTCCTGGCCCCATCACATCATCTACCACCCCACCAAACGGCATCACAATTGATCTCACAATATCCCCTGACGAACAAGTCAAAGACGTCAGCCAACATCCCAGTAATGATGACACGAAACCATCGATTCCAAGCTTGTAAGTTTCACCAGCTCGAGTCCAAAATCCCTGCTTACTGACACTTTGCCTCGCTACACATTCTATTACAGGACCGAAACCGTCACGACTTCGCCCATCATTAGCCACACCTTGCAGTCAGAGCAATCCTTCGAGCACCAACACCCAGCTGTACAAACTTCGCTGGTCCAAACGGCCATTGCTACACCAGGCCTCCAGAATGGCTGGCCATCGCCTATTCCTGTATCCTCACTTGTTGCGTGGTATGACGATTGTACCAAGGGAGGCATTCCTAAGGCAGAATGGCACAAGCGATGGGGCGCACAGTGGAAGTTCGTAATTGGGACTATGTACCGATACTGCGCGTTTGTCAAAGAAGTAGGCAAAGGGCCCATCACCCTGGGTGAGCACTATCGCTCTCAACCGGAAGCCACTGTTGCAGATGCTCGGGAGTTCTTCCACAAAGAGTTCAACCAAGTGGCCAAACTTAACCGTAAGTTTTCTTTACCATTTCCGAACTTGCTATGTTCATTTACATTACCCAACTAATGTTTAAATATAAACATTATTTCATGTAGCCTGAAGCGATCACACCTATTAAACATGCACACATCAAGTTATCTTGACCATTTCTGAACTTGCTATACTTCTTTACATTACCCAAATCAAATAAATATAAACATTGTTTCATGTAGCCTGAAGCAATCACACCTATCAAACATGCACACATATATCCTATTTACTCCACTCATTTTCAGTAATTCATATGTACTTCATTATGTATATAAGTAACATTGGTTGTTATATTAGTTTTGCGAGTTGTTATGTTATTGTTTTGAGTTGTTATATTGGTTCAGAGGTGAAAATCTACCAGCTGCATCCACTGAAGCCAAAAATGGATGGAAACTGTTCATTACTTGGTTGTTGGTCGCAACACCTGTCTGTTCCAAACTGATATAAACCGATTTAGATCATGCTTCCCATATTGCCTTGTCCATAGTATCTACGGTCTCTATGAATTCGAAACCATCGATGCCACCATGGCATGGATGATATATATATGTTGCCCCGAACAAGGCCTATACAACATTGCACCGTGTTCCACACGGCTAAGTCATGGTCAACGTGGATGATGAGATCATCAATGCCACGCCAATGGTATGTTTGAACACGCACCGACTACAAAAGGGACATGATTTGGTGTAATGGCCTTCCCTATCATCACGCTCGTCCTTTCACGCATTCCACGCACGTTCTGTGTTTCTGTTTCCATTTCCGTCTCAGTCCATCCATTGTTTTTGCGATTTCTTATCATTGAAAGTGTGAACATTGTTTCTTTTCCTATCTACAACTTTTGCATTCAATCATTTCTGTTCGCTCGTGCCCTACGCACCAAGATATACCGACAGCTACCGCGGATGGACCTTCATATCGCATCTGACTATCCTTTGCGATTTAGTAGTTTATTTTGGACCAAGCACGAAGTAAGCACATGGTCAAAATGAAACCAAATGAACTACAGATCTGATTTTGATTCCATAGATAAACGACAACTATGGTCGATTTGACAATAGATTTGCATACTTTGAAACCGAGATTCTCATCCATCAAAGCAAAGGCGTCCCTTTGAAGATCGCTGCCAGGCGAGATCAGAGTGAGTTACAGGAACATCACGCCTACAGACTTGACGCACCAGTCGCGGTATGGGGTCCTGATGACCTCCCTATGCTCATGGAGGACTTCGCCACCACTCTTGAAATCGAACATGCCGAAGTCCTCCCCCACTGTCGCATTAACAAAGTCTTGGCGCAAGGCCTTGGTCAAATAGTGGAGTGGTCCAGAAGGCGCACAACCGGACTACCAATCGAAGTCATCAAGGTTCTGCATCGATGCTGGAATGCCACCGTAAGCAATCCATACCCAAATACCACTGATTATAGAAGATACTGATCCATGCATTGCATAACAGCAAACACAACGTGTGGAATTCTACGCAAACTATTTGTTGAGCACCAACATCACCTCAACGCTAACGATGGGAGCTCTTGAAGTAGGCAACCTCATCAGTTTGCGCGGTCTTGTTGTTTCTTATGTAGAACCTGCCCACACATGGACATCCAAGTAAGCAATCTACTCGATTTTACTCTGTGCTTCAATCCTACGCCACTGACTCACATTTCACAGGCTACAGAAATCCAGACCATTCTGGCCAATCCTCAAGGACCCTCGCGGAGGAGAAGTAGAAGGTTGTGTGGACTTCAACCCATTGGCATTTAAAATCATGATTGTAGCCCCCTCGGTGCGAGTATCTTTCATCTTTCATGAGTCAATTGGCAATCATGTGTATATGTTGTAGATAAAACTGTAAATGCTTTGTGTCATAAAATTCTTATTATGAAGGTTTGATAATCATTCTTTGGTTGGCTTCCAAAGATAGTCCAAGCAAGCTATGATCTGGAGTAATCAGATTGAGTATTGGCCTTCCTTATTTGCCTGAATCAAAAGATGTTCTTCACTAAGCAGAAGAACATCTTTGAGTTCTTCACTCAGCAGAAGAACATCTTTGAGCTCTTCACTTTGTTTGATAGTTTATAATTTGTATTTGTCAGTTAGGCAGACAGATAATAACCAGTGTGTTAGACACAGTTTTTGGGTTAAGTTACATGGTTACTCTTTTGTAAAGGTGGATCAATGCATCTGTAATATGTTTCTAATGAATGTACAGTTTTACATACTTAGGGCTGGCTATCAAATCACCAAGATAGAGCAGCACATCAATGGGTTACAATTGATGTGCTGACCAAAGTATGTTGTTAATGTTGAAATATGAACATTATTTGAACATTTTTCAAAAATAATTTATCTTGAAGAATTACAATATAAATTATTTGGTGGCAAACATGTAGGGTGATTTTATGATGGCTCATGCTTTCCATTGGATTAATGACTGGAATGCATGACCAGGCAGCTTACTTTTTGAATGAAATCCAATTCCAAGAGCAACAGTATGAATTGGAATTTTACCCTGATCTGGTAAAGTTTATGAACAAGATGCAAAAAGGAATAGACTCTGTAGGAATTCTGTTGATTTCCTACATTGATTGGAGGGTATTATTATTTAATTTTCATTTAGATAAGTACCAGGGGCATCCAAATGGATTTCACTTATGATTGCATCACATACGCTGACAACTAAAAACACAAAGGTTAACATTCTTGGAGATATCAAGTCCTTAGCAATGATCAACACACAGTAGTCAGTGACATGCACAATGCAAAATGTTTTTTTTGGCATCATGATTGTTTGAGACACTCAAATACAAGCATCAAGACTACATCAATAAGTGCAAATCTCAAAATGCACCTATGGGTGCAGTCTTCACCTTTTGGCCAATGTCTTTCTTGGACATTGGTAAGATTGGTAACTTCTAGTGCAGGTCTTCAGAGATCAAATAAGTGGATGTCAGGTTAGCAACATATTCATGTCATGTACACATAATCTGCCTGTTAGTAAGTAGTTGGAAAGCTGGTTATGCCCAAACCTTGTTTGCCAGATGTGCGCAAAAAAAATACAAAGATTTATACAAGAGAAGGCACAAAAAGTTTGAGGGGCACACTTCAAGTTATGCAGAAGCTATCCATGAAACCCAGGAACAACAATCAGTGTGGTCTGTGACAAGCCAAAGCTCCAGTTTTCCTGCTGATGGAAACATGCACTGGGTCTGGGAATTGAACCCAGGTGCACACCTCAATGTTCCTCAAAGTCAATAGCATATACCGCTACACGATGACTGCATGGCATCTCTCAGGCTAAGGGGGTTCCAAAGCCTTTTACCCAACATGACCTAAAGGGCGTAGGAAAGTTTGACTTAGGAAATTGGTCATATATAACTATAATGACTCTTGTAGTGATCAAATATCATGTACTTATCAAAAAATGGTCACATATTCTACCTTAATCATATTTGTTTCTCGTAGAAATACATCAGTAAAAATCAAAAGGATATATATTATCATCCATCATCGTAAGGAGACTTCAGCCAATACTAACAATAAAATTGATAGTATAATATCATCCATCATCTTAACATACAGTATTCAGTTGTGCATACGAAACTGTGGGAGAGGCTTGTTTAGGCATAACATATGCATATCAATTGGAATATCAAGTGCACTTGAAACTAGAGGGCTCCCTCCCCAATATACACCACCCCAGCTCGCTTGTGCAGTTTGTTTGTTAGCCATTTATTTCTCAAATAAACCATTTCTTCCAAGAAGAAATTGTACGCAAGTGACGACATGTTACGGCACATTGAAGCAAACGCGCCATACCAAATGTTTGTCAGCTCTGCCGCGGATGCATTGAAAATCCATCGACCATCCTCTTGAATGTCGGGAAACAGTTTCGGGTCGGTAAACATTTTGCAAAATTCATCCGTTTCAGCGTGAGATCGGTGGTGAAACGGGTCCACCGGAATGACAGTGCCGGTGAAACGGGATGGGTCAGAATCCCCGGTGTAAATGTGCTCAGTTAACCTGCAAGCATTATCATAAAACACCACTTCCGGCATGCCGCGTGGGAAGGTTTCCTCAAGAAAATCCTGTGATGATGTGATAAACCAAAGTCAGCAACAGGGACACCAGCAATCCAGAATCACAGTTGGGAAGGTTGAGTCATTTGCAAATTGTAGAATAATGATATAGAATTTTCGGAAATCCAAACTCACTTTGACTGCACTGACGGATTCAGCGTGGTAGAAAGTCTTTCGCGCCAAAACAATCCCACAGGGTGCTACGATCAGCTGGTCGTTATGGGTGCGGCTTCTTGACAGCACGTATTTACCAGCGGCCTGTGATTGGCCGCCGTCGCGCGCGGCTTCGTGCGCTCGCTGGGACTCATCAGCTTGTTGCAAGCTCTCCAGGTCTATGAACTCGCCTGTTTCGGCATCTAGATGAGGCGTAGGATCGGGGTGAAGGTTCGACCCGGGGCGGTTGAGGATGGCCGTGAGTGAGAAGTTTCCTTGAACACGTTTTTTGAAGTCGGCCCACTGTTTGATGTGCTCGGTGTCGTCGCACGTTTCACGATCGGTAGCAGCGGGTTTTGGGCAGGGTTGAGCTCGGCATTGACCACCCAGGATCGTGAAATGATCTGGGCAGAACCGGTCGTTCACGTTGGCAAGTTTTCGAGTGCATGGCCCTTCTGGCAATGGCCGACCAGATGTTTGAGCAATTTCCCGTAGTTGCTCCGTCGTTGCACTGCATCGCCAGTGGCCGATGGTCAAGCCATCGGTCACTACCGCGCGGATGGCTGTGATCCAATTGAAAGAAATGTAAAAATTAATATCTTTCGAAACAACTATAGTCGAGAATGATGGAAGGTGGCACTCACATTTATAAAAACCTTCGCCACTGACTGGATCAACGCCGTCTGGTAACAATCGGACACAAGTAGAGCAGTAATGATCTCTATACTTGGTTCCTTCGATTAGTAGTTGTTCTAAGTGGGTTTCAATTGCTGACTCGAACCGGATTTTGTCTATTCCGCTTGAGCTGACAATGAGGGTGGTACCTCTTCGATCCGCATGTTTGATTAATGAGTGAAGCATAAGGCCGTGGCGACATTCTTCCTCGGACATTGATGGGGTAAACAACTGGTCTGGTGCGAAAAGTTGAGCTGGAGTGTCATCTACAAATACCATGTTGAACCAGTTTACAAGATTGAAATGAGAGACACTTTTCATTCCAAATGACATTCACCGTCAGTTGCATTCTTTCAGAACAGTGATGCGAAAGGTGTTCAACTTACTGTGCTAGCATCTGGAGCACCCGGAACATGTACGCCAGTCGTGTAGTCATGTAGTAGTGACAGTTGATATGTAGATAATCAACATCTCGCCCCATTTCGTTGGTGTAGTAGTATCGAGCACTGTCTCGGCTGTAATAACTGGGTCGATACATAGTATCGCATTTTGGGTCTGATATGGAGGAGGTCAGTGAGAGAGCAAAGGGTAACTGTGAGTAAGCGTAGAGGTCACGTACTTGAGCAACTTAAGATGATAGTCTGCACAGGGTGTACTCCATCAATGTCGTGAAGGTATCCGTTTAGACGCGAGTGTACGTGTAAAGGACGGGGATTGTCCTTTGGGCATATGAGGCAGTGTGACAGAGGGGTGCGTAGGAATCTTTCGGGTATTTTGGTGGTAAAATTGGGCTGGAGCCCTAGGTCGCGGATCGAGTTGGTTGGATTGATTCGACACATGTGTAGGATGGGGAAAGAGATTCGCCACAGGTCGTCCCAAAGATTGGACGGAAAATGGACAGATAGAGCCTCCTCGAGGAATGGTAGCACAGGAATCCGGGTGGGTGTGAGCCGTAAGGAAGTACCTGCACGATAGTCGACTTCGGCAGCAAGGGAAGCAAAGCGGACAAAGTCCGCCACCGTGAGTGTTGCGGATAGGTGGGGTGACTGATGAGTGAGTTGGATGGTGAAATCTCGGAGAAGCATCTTTGATGTTATACGTTGAGGTTGGTTGACGTTTAGTTTGGAGAAAGGGAATAGGTGGTGGCAGGAGGGTTCAGCGTGGGGACAATAGATGGACACGCGTTCTGAATGTCTAATCATGTCACCTGGTGACATCCATGATCCCACAATTGAGCCGGCCGGTTTCTGAGCGATGAGGTAAGGGACAAAAGGTTTTGTCCGCCTAGCCGTAAGTCCCATACTGGAGAATGTGGTTGGGAATCTGAGGACTGTACGGTTGACAGAAACCCATACTTCATGGCTGTGTGGAGGTTTATCACAGTTATCAGGGGGTTATCAGTCGATCCCCTGGTTCTTCGGTTTACCGAGCAGCGACTGCGAGTGACTTGGTTGAGTTTAGGTTTCGAAGACGATACACTTTTCTTAATCACTTTACCTCGATCGACGATACATGTGGTCGATGACCTGATCATCGAACACACCCTTCAACAACATAAACACATCAAACTTTGACCTTTCCTAAGCAATATGGATATCGAGCAATCAACTCTCAATCAATCTCCAGTTATCATACCCACCTTTTCCGCTTCGATCGTAGGATTCGTCTCTGGAATGGTCTCAGCCGGAAAACTATCGGGAGCTCAGTTTACTTGTGAAAACCTACATCGTCTTCCGACTTCTAGACAAGCTGCCTACCTTTTTCAAAAAACGAAAAACTATCGTATCATTCTTGGAGGTTTGAAGGGAGGACTTCGTTCGGGTGCACGACTTGGAGCTTGGACTGGTGCTTTTTGTTCTATGAAAGAAGTTACATTGATTCCTATCAAATCTAGTATACCTCATGAAGATCAGCTTCATTGTCGCTTTATCGCAGGTGGGATCAGTGGTTTCATTTTAGCACTCGGTGCGAGTTCACTCTGTGAGTTATGGGTTACCTATTCCACCTCCATCCTCTCTTCGATCATAAGTTGAATATTGATTCGAAATTACATCAATGAATTGTGCAAGATCGACTGCGGCCTATCTATTCTCCACGCAGGCTGATGCTTGGAGGCTTGGTTGGAATGTTGGCTGGTGGAGCTGAGGATCTGAAAGACATACTGGCTAATCGTGAAAATCAGTGACGAATTCGTCGGCTTCAATCCAATTAGCCTTATCAATACCGAGGGCAAGCTCGAGATTCCATATAAACTCATCCTCATGAAAGACATCGGACATGCAAGGTACGTATGGCTTTTGTTACTACAAAATATCTGCGAGTACTGACTTTGCTTATCACCTGCGTATTCAACTATACAATGTTTCATGAACAGCTCGGTCTAAAGTCATGTCACTTTTGAACAGCAAGATCGTTCTCCCAGTTTCGCGTCTGATCGTACACATGGTCTTTGTAGCCCGTGCCCTAATACCTATGGAATGAAGCAATAGATTTGAATTTTACCAGTCATATCGTCAAATCTGGAGCGTTCACAAGAACGTTCCGCAATATCCACGCGACTCCGCGCTCCATTTTTAGAGATTGTTTAAGTTCGATCTGGGTACAAAGTAATCAGGCCTATATGGGGATGAGATGCTCAAACAAGTCCGAGCCGCAAATGCTTGTTCAAAATGAATACTTTAACCATCTCGCGGAAAAGGAAATTGCTCAAGCTTCGAAGCTCCCTTTGAACATGTACCTATGATATATATCCGCCAAGCAATCCATCTCACTTCCGGCCTTCATTTACTGATCGGCTCAATACCCCATGCCAATATGAGATCAAATAAATGCTTCATTTGTTCTTAAGTTTTGCCTTGTATGTTGGATGTAGTGACGATCATCAACACAACCAAAAGTCGCACTGATATTACCCACGAAGCATTGACCTCATCTTTCAATTGCTACAGAACATCGACCCTTCTCAATCGGTTTCTGATCGTTCAGAGCTTTGAGGCTCAATCCTTGTTCCCCTTAGTTGGTTGGCAGTTCGTGTATATAAGAGCAAGTTTCGACTTGAATCGTTTGGCAAGCTAGAGAACAATATATCCTCGTTGACGTTCAGCGACTTCATCATCTTACGCACAAAACCTTTCACACATTCTTTTTAATTATCAACCCCGATCCATTACTTGCGATGCGATCGTCACTGCTACTTCTTGCCTCGCTCCTTCAACACGCGAGTGCTATGCCTCATCTTGTAAGTCACCAATTTATTGAAGACGTTGATATTGAGGAGTCAAGGAAGTGACCAAAATTCACATACGCAACAAATAGGCTGGTATCAAAGAGCGTACTTTAAATATAGCTAACATTTCAGCTTCTGATGTTGAGCATCTACTTAATCTTCAATCAAGAAGTCTTTTTGATTTAGAAGGTTTACTTAGTGCGATACCTAGTAAGATAAACTTCAATTAGATCTTACAATTATATCTCTTGATTTTGATATCCTAAATTAATTCATCCTTTATAGCCACTATTGATCTTCCGCTTGTGGCATCTGTCGGGAGGAAACGAATTCCGGATGCTGATCATCCTTTCATAGTGGGTGAAATGTTCATAGATGAGAAGGTGTGCGCCTTTCCTGAAAATAACAACTGATCTTATTCCCGCCAATTAGGCCCCTGGACCCGATGATCAGAGAGGTATGCAGCCATAAGTTGTTCAACCTTGAATGTTTTCTATGTTAAAGATAATTGAATCTTCTAGGCGGTTGTCCGGGTATGAACATAATGGCCAATTATGGATATGTAAGTCAGATATAATTGACTGCGACTTTAATCCTAGATTTTAATCTTTTGAATCTGTCTTCCATAGATTCCTCGCAATGGTATTGCAACCGTGGTTGACATGATATCTGGAATGGAGGAGATGTTGGGATTTGGGCCTGATATTGCAGCAGTCATTGTAGCACTTGGTTTCATCGCGTCTTTTGATCTCACCACGTTAGTGTTCTTTTATCATCCTAACTGTTATTCGCAAGAAAGTTTTTTCTGATTACCGATTTTTGATGATAGACTCACGACTTCCATCGGACAAACAGATTCTAGAACTGATGGACTATTAACTCCTTTATTTGGGACCGCACCTGGTTTCTTTTCCAAAGAATCTCATAATAAATTTGAAGTTGATGGATCTATGTCTCGTGTGGATGGATACTGGGCCAACGGTGATACTAATCATTTCGATAGCGATCATTGGAAGCAACATAAACAACTTGCAAGTAAGAGTATTTCATCCGACTCTACCTTTCCAGTTTTTCATGTTTCTAATCTTCGCTTGGTATTATTTAGTTGATAAATACGATGGTCTGATGACCGCCAAGTTTTGGGGTGAAGCTCGTTTCATGCAGGTGAGCGGAATTTTTTATTTGATCAAATTCTACAAGTGGAGTTTTGAGTTTGATAACTGAAGTTGCTGTGATATATATTGTAGTACAATGATTGCCGTAACAATAACCCACAATGTCAATGGGTAAGCATTTTATAATTGAAGCCTTTGAAACAGGACGCTAGAAAATTTACTCATCATCGCACCATCTTCACTCGCAGGCTATAGGTCAACAGTCAGTCATCCAGAGTTGTAATTTCAACTATCACGCCACAAAACTCATAATTGATTATCTTGGTTCTCGTTTTCTAGAGCACATGCTTACATTGCAGGAGCATTCATTACCAATACGATGGCATCAGCCGACATTCATGGAAACGCAGGACCACCTGATGTAGAATCCATTCAAACCTTCTTTGGTATAATCGAACATCCTAATGGAACCTATTCACAAGGTCATGGTAAATTACCACCTAGTAAAGATGGATATTGGTATCGTCGAGAACCTTTGACGGTGAATTTAGTCTTCTAAGTTTCTTTCATGTCATCAAGAATGTGAACTGATCAGTTTGGTTGATCTAGGTTGTTGAGCAATTGGCTACACTTACTGAGACTTTACTTGCATGTTAGTAGATGTTCTTGTTTATCTTTTGAATTCTGCTTTCTTGAGACCATGACTTACCAATAACTTATAATTATAATTATCATTGGTCGTCTGGATTTTCTTAGACCCAGTCAGTCGAATTTCTTTTTCTTGACCGAATAAATGTTATTGTTTATCTTTGAACTATCCTGATGATTCCCGTTTTTTTCAATAGGTTGAATTTGGAAGAAATGACGGTAAACTTGGTCATTGGAATGCAGATTTAACTGATTTGAGAAACGTAGTAGAGAACGGCGCAGCTTGTTGGATACTTCAACAAGTTGAGTCATTTTTTGTCCTTCTTTTTGCAACTCCCAAAAGATATTCAAAGAAATTGACCAAACAAAATTATAAAATGTTCCTTTACAGGCAAGAGATACTCAAGACAATCGATATGAGGGATTTCCATTGATTAAAGGTGCAATCGGAAAATTAGTTCAAAATTTACTTGCACCTGTTTTTGAGCAACTTGCTTGTACTCCACACAGTACCACATGACTTAGAATTCTTTTTTAGCCGCCATCTATTTTCTGCTTATTTGCTCCTTGATTTATTGTCTTATCTCAGTGCAAGATTAATTTGATTTTCAACTTTTTGCTTTTTGAGCTCTTTGATCCTTTGTTTTGGCAACGATCGGATATGATGATATAATAGGATTCAGGAGTTATATTTATTGGATCTCTTTCTTTTGACCTTTTGAGACCAGGTACAATTTAAATATGAATTATGAAATGTACTGGTTTCTTTTCCTTTGTGTCAACAAGTCCATCTTTGTGTGTGTGACGTGTTCAGTTCTCACTTATCAATATATATTTTCATTTCTCATTTGTAAACTTTTTGTCTTGTGAATAAATTTCTCTTTCCTTTCTTGTTCAAGCAATCACTGATTTAGGTCTTCACCTTATTCAGGTTTAGACCTGGTGTGTGGGGGGGCTGTAGGCCGGGGACTGCCTGTCCGAGAAAGGGTTTTCGTGGGCGGGGGTGGGTGGGTGGCCCATGGAACCATTTCCTTCATTTGATGAGATCTCCAATTTTTATGGCCAATTCCATCTATTTACTGTGCATCTTATTTTTCTTTGTTTTCATCTCGATTCATTTCCTCAGTCTTGAATTTATGTAATTCTTGTTGCTGTTGTTGTACTTGTTTTGTTTCCTGACTGACACCCATTATACTTCCTGTATATTATCTTGCTCATATCTCCTGCCCCTATCTGTAGGGCGGGTGGGACAGGTTTCAAAATGAAATGACTTTATTTCTTTTTGGGAAGTGTTTAGCAAAAGATTTGATGATTCAAATCTGAGATGTATGAGTGGTGTGTGGCGTGTCAAACTGTGATGAAGAGATTTTCACAGTTTGCCTAGCCTCTCTCTCACAGGGCCGGGTATTGTCCTGGCCCTGATCACTTCGCACTCATACACTATGTCACGTGTCTTGATGGAACTCTTGGGTGACGTCGTGCCTTTGGCCACCCTTGTCAATCCATCTTTGTGTGTGTGGCGTGTTCAGTTCTCACTTATCAATATATATTTTCATTTCTCATTTGTAAACTTTTTGTCTTGTAAATATATTTCTCTTTCCTTTCTTGTTCAAGCAATCACTGATTCAGGTCTTCACCTTATTCAGGTTTAGACCTGGTGTGTGGGGGGGGCATAGGCCAGGGACTGCCTGTCCAAGAAAGGGTTTTCTACCTCCCAATCTCTGGATGGGTGTTGTCCTGAGCTTGTTGAAATCCCAAACACAACATCAGTCCATGCCTGTATGTGTTGATCTCACGTAGAAGATCTGCCGTTCATACACCACTTAGTTTAATTGAGCAAACTTTATTTCATCTGGTATTCCTATCTCCCTTCACCCCGTCACATCCCCAACACAAACATCCTTTTTAAATTCACCAAACCCTCTTCCCGCCATCTTCCCTCTTTACCGTATCAACTATTAACACAACGCTTCGGTCAGCTTTTACTTCTCATTATCATTCTTATTTAACTTAACTCACTCTTTCTGCCAGTCTTCAAATTCAAACATTTTCCAGATTTCTTTTGTCTCTCTCTTCTCTTGTTTACTATATTTTCTTAGGTACAGTTGATATGCCTTTGACTGCCATCAACCTACTGTCGTAATCTCCTCAATCAGCTTCTTTTCATTCAACCTTAAGTTAGCACAACCTACTCGGAACGAGTGACCTGAAAGCTTAGTTTCCTCTTTATTAGCTTCCCGCACTCTCCTAAATATTGCCATAAGTTTTGATTTCGATATGGTGCTTCTTGTCCTGTTTTCTTCTAAATAGGAGAACAATGGGTCTTTTGGTCCAGTTTTATTATTGACCATCACCCTTTCTATTGCAGCTGTTGGATCCAGATATGAATTCTGCCTCTTTAGCTTGATATACTGAACTTGTCCTGGTTTTGCCGTCTTTGCATTGAAGATTGCTATCATTACTTTATTCTCTTCCGGTGTCCAAAGTAAGTCTTTCCTCTGTATCAATCTCTTACTCTTGTTGTCTGATACTAATTCTCCTAGCTGTGCCATACCCCAAAATGCCGTTAACGTGATTGTTAACGCCATTTGTTCTCTCCTTCCTCCTTTTGATACCTCTCTTAACAACTGAGCTAAGTGACACAGTAATATTGGTTTTTTCTGTTCCTTCTCTGATTCTTGTATTGCCGCCTCTGCGATTTTGGACGACTTCAATAACACCGAGAATTTTAACACATCATACTTGGGATATTCTTCGTTGTGAAACAAATGCCAGCATTTAATTCCCGTGAGATATTTCTTGAACGTTTCTACTTCAATTTCACTGTAAACATCATTCAACTTCCCCAATTTGGAAGAGGAAAATGATTAATAGTACAGTTTGTCATAAAAGAATCTCATACTGCGCACCTGAGCCATTTCACCCACACTACATATGTGCAGCAAGCTAAGTCAATAGTTGTCTATCATGTACATACAGGTCTGCTCAGTTTTTGGCCCATCAGAATAAATAGATCACATGTTATACCACATGTAACTTTTTTGACTTTGAAAAAATTGTCCCAAAAATTCACTACATATAATTCTGTAGCTGCTCAAGCAATATTGTTGAAGCTATTTCTTAGTAACAGAAAGGGTGTTACATGCAGTTGAGTTGATGAGAACACACCAAAACATTGAGTCAGTGTATGTAGTCAATCTTTTGAATGCTTTTTTCAATCTCAAAAAAGTTACAGAATGTATTACATATGAATAACTTATCCTGATGAGCAGATAACTGAGCAGAACTGTATGTACATGATAACCACATATTCACTGGGCCTGCTACACATATGTAGTGTGGGTGTTATGGCTCAGGTATGGAGTGATAGATCATTTTATGACAAATCATACTCCCAATCATTTTTTCCTGCCCACTTGGGGAAGTTGAATAATGTTTGCAGTGTTGTTGCTGATTTGTCTCCTCGTACTTCTGATTTTCCATCTGCTTCTAATTTCTTTCCAGACCATGTTACAAATTCATACAATAAACTAACTGATACTGGCAATAGATCCTGTCTCTTATAGCCTTTTTCTAATGAAGATTTTATCAACTTTGATACCTCACTATTATAATTAATCAAAGTTGCTTCTGCCCATCCTCCTGATAACATATGAGTTTGTACGTTATTGCTCCTCCACTTGATTTCACCTTTTGTGTCTTGTAGGAATAAGCTAATTTTCTTCTCTGTTTTTGGGGATATCATATTTCTTCTAAGAGGAGTTCGGGATCTGCTGGTAGTTTGATTTCCAACCGTGGTCCTAGCTGCTCCTCTTAATTGTCTAATCCTCTCAATAGTCTGTCTGCATTTTTATCTCCTGAATTTACCCTCTCTTCTGTAATGTCACACTGTAGTCGGAGTAGTAAGTGTTGGATCTTTTTCCACTCTTCTTTGACTTGTTCACTTTTTGATTGTCTTTTGTTGATGGTCGATTCTGTAGTAGTATTGTCTGTCTTCACCCAAAACTTTCTACCCCTCACGTCCGTCAAAACCTCTAACATCAACAAGCCCAACCTTATCGCCCCCGTTTTGGCCCAGGCAATATCGCAACATGTTTTGTCTCCTGCCAATCCTCTCGTCTGCCAATCTTCTTTCAGCTTGTACCTGGTCCATCCAAAGTCTAATATGACTCCGATTCCAACTCCACTCGCATCTCCCACCCATCCTACTGGCTCTGGTTCGACCGCTGGAACAATCCTTCTTGGTTCAAACGTTGATAGTGCTTTGCTCCAACTTTCTAGGTCCATCTATGCTGCTCTTGACAGGAATCTTTTAGGGTTTGTTTTCTGCCAAGGATTCAACCATACATATAAACCCCTCATATAGGGTTTCATATGTGGTACGATATACATGAGGTGTGTGATTTTTCCTATGGTGGAGTCCGCTTCCTTTAAGCTTTAAGCCCCACGGGCCATCCTCTTTAAGCATCTTATTTACAGCTTCCAACTGTTCAGCCAACTTTTCATCAGGTAACCTTACCGTTTTGTCTACTCCATTGAAAATGAATCCTAAATATTTTTGTTCTTCAGCGAACTCTCTAAGCTTTTCCTGATTAGTTTTTACTCCCATCTGTGTACTAACTCTGACTACATCTTTGATTTTTAGGCTGTCTCTTTCTAGCTTCAGTATCATATTGTCGTCTACCCATCTGAGAATTTGGTCAATCTTCAATTGTTTTTGGATTGTCAACTGCCATGCGTCTGCTACTTTCCCAAATGTCCCGCACCCAGCTACTCCGCCAAATGGGACTGCTATGTCTATCCATATTCTATTTTGGAAGTCTTTTATCACTAAGTAACTCCACTCTTCCTCTTTAGTTTCGGCTTGTCTATAAGCCTTCTCCCAATCATAGATGGCTAACAATATGATTTTGTCAAAGTGTTCTGAAGTAAGTTGTCACCACGTGGAAATCGTCCCAAGTTGTATCAAATTCATGTTTATCCACCATTGAGTTTACTGAAGGAACTTCTTCATCATCTACTGGATACAAGAGGTTGTTGATCATTCGGAGGGATCCGTCATTGTTTATCACGCTGCCCATTGGGTTTGTCTGGAAAAAGCCCCACTTCACGTACATCTCTTTGTGGGTGAATGGGCCAAACACTCTCCCTGTGGCTCTTTCTTTGTACAAATTCCTCATTATTTTCTCCTCGACTGCTGATGCTGAACTGTGATTGTCTGGTGTCCACCACCTCTTGCCATTCAAATAATGTTCAGGTATTCCTTGTGTGAAACCTGACACCAACCCTTTTATTACTTCCTTGACCTCTTTTTCTACTCCACAACTTCTTGCCAGTTCTCTCCATTCTTTTATATTCATTTTGCACCTAGCCTTTGATGGCCATCTTCCATTCGACCTTGTTGAACTTGGTCTGGGCTCTTCTGGCTGCTCTCCAACTATTGGTGCTTCAGGCGGAAGTGGTTCATTTGGCACTTCTCTCTGGGACGGTGAGTTCAACTTCTTCCCATCTTGTGGCATTTTGTTGTTCTTTTGTCTCACAATCTCCCTACAAACAGTCGAGGGCAAGGGTCTCAGTTTCTCACTCTCACATTTTGTTTTGTGTCACAAAAAATGTTTTCATCACATCATTCATTTCTAGTTTATTTCTGCCCCAGGGACTCTTGAAATTTCTCAGAGTGTCATAATAAACATGGTTGGAGGGTGGACGAGACAAAACAAGGTAGAGAAATTGATTTCTAATGCAACTCTTCATTATACTCACGGATTTGTTCCTGTTCCATTACTGCTACCTCTGGCTTGCCTTGCTGCTTTCAACGCCTCAAAGGCTCCTGGTCTGTACTTAGGCACTACAACCCCATTGATAACCATCATTGGGGCTGGGTTTGTTGCAACTTGAGTTCCACCTCCTCTAATTCCATTTCCTCTACTGTTTCCTCTTCCTCTCCTGCCTCTTCTTTGTCTGTTTGATCCATGGTTCATTGCACCTTGATTGTGAAATTTGTTATGATCATGGCTATAGTTCTGGTGAGAAGATTGTCCCATTCTATTGTAACTTGAGTGATGATTAGATTGCTGATGAACCTTGTTACTACTATTTGATGCTAAATCTGATAGCATCCTACCACCTGTTACCGCTGTGATTTGTTCATCTCCGTTAGACAGTAAATCCCAACCAACTTGATTCCTGCCTGTCCACGGATTGATGTGCTCTAAAGCTCCTCCTACTATGTACGGATTGTCAAAGTACCTGTGATCTCTGTTTGCCTTGGAGTCAGTTATTGCTTGCTCAACTAAGATGTTGTTTCTCACTCCTACATCCAACAATGATCCGTCTGCTAGCGTGTGACTGAAGACATTTGTGCGGTGAGTTATATCATATCAAAGCACTGGGCCCCAGGCATTGTTATACTTTGCCTTGATTGCTAACATTATCTTGTAATGTTCTTCCAGTTGTAGTGTTATATCTTCACGATGATATTTTACTCTCCAATATTGAAGATACAATTTGAACAATGTTGACCACATTAAGAAGCTCTGTCTCCACTCATTTGGCACTCAAAGACCAACATACAAAATGATATCTGAACAGGACGAGTTTTGTTTCCTCCGATTCGACATGTGTGTTTTGTCTGCCAGTGACCAGGCTGGTACAAATATTGTTAAGGGAACATATCCAAAACACGCTGTCATCCTTCCATCCCAATAAGGTGAAAGATCTATAAGTCTGTGAGTGAGAGTCACTCCTTGTGCCATTGTCTTTCCTATCTTTGCTGGCTTTTCAGTCGCCTGTTCCTTTCCTTTCCTTTTCAAAGTGGTTTGATCTACCTCTTCTTCCTCACTGGAACAGTTTAGCATTTCTATTGGTCTTGGTCTTGACTTTACTTTTTCACACCACTTCTCCTATGCACTCTCTAACATTTGAAATTTTCCGGTTTTGCCTTTTTCATAAAGTTTCATCAATTTGGCTACGTATTGTTTGTGTTCTCAATCAATATGCGTGTTTTCATTTACAAACTCTGCTTTGTTGCCTGTATGGACACAACACAACACACAAGATCACACGACACATTAGCACTATTCTTGCTATTTTATCTCTTTCTGTGTTTACTTTAATCACGAATCTTTTTATCACGACATTCTAGGACTTTTGACTATAGGACTTCAGGACTTTAGACTTCAAGGACTTCAGGACATCTGACCCACCTGTGTGGCTTCAGTATTTTTCTAGGTGTTGCCTTTTCTGGACTTCAGGACATAGATGTTGCTTTTTCTGGACTTCAGGACATCTGATCCACCCATGTGGTTTCAGTCTTTTGGAGATCTGTTCCACCCGTGTGGTTGCAGTTTTTCTTTCTGGTTAGTCATTTTTTATCTTCCTTTCTACGGTTTGATTTCTCCAGGATATGCCCTTATCAAGTCTTTTCTTTTCTTTTTTTTGTTTGTTGCGAAAAAGTTTGGGAATGATACAAGAGAAATTCTGATGTGGGAGATTTTGGAGAATAATTTTATTTGGTTATGCTTACCTAAAGAGATGGTATCCCTTCACCTCCCCTGTTTCCTCCATTTCCTTCTTCTGCTTCTTTTAAATCTCCTCCTTCCTCTTCTTCATTTTCCTCATTCTTGTTGTCCTCTTCTACTTCAGTCAAGTCACTACCTAAATCATCATTTCTGCCTTCTTCTTCTCCTGATTTTCTTTTTTTGGTTTTCAC